AAATAGTTAATAAGTGAGAGGAGGTTCAAATCACTCTTAACACTATTTGGGTACAAACACGCCCACTACCCTTGAAGATAGAACTTTGCCCAATACTTTTGAATAGAGCAGTCAGTTTGTAAGTAAATGTAAGATTAATCAAGTAAAATGCTTGTATACTCATATTATAAAAAAAAAAAAAAAAATTAAAAAAAATAATAATAATAAAAAAGATCTTAAGGGGATATTTTATTGGGCCATCTCAATAAGGGAAGGTATGTTGAATAGCTAGGAATTTGGATTTTTTTCAGTTTGGTTCTTCATGGCCTGGAAAACAAAATTACGTAGACTTGAAGTATTGGGCTATCAGCTGGCCCATGGAAAGCTCCCCGAGGCCTAGTAGTAGTATATATAGCCCAACCAAAACCCTAGTTTCATCCCCGTCTATTTATTCGAAGAGCAACCATTTGTCAGACGCTAGGGTTTTCGGCTGCAAGCAAAGAGAGAACTTTAACAATGGCAGAAAAGGGTCCGGTTCCGATGGTGCAATGCTTCGGCCGCAAGAAGACTGCCGTTGCCGTGACCACCTGCAAGCAAGGAAAAGGCATCATCAAGATCAACGGCTGCCCTATCGAGCTCGTGGAGCCGGAGATCCTCCGCTTCAAGGCAGTTGAACCAATCCTTCTCCTTGGCCGCCACCGCTTCAACGGCGTCGACATGAGGATCCGCGTCAAGGGAGGAGGACACACTTCCCAGATCTACGCCATTCGTCAGAGCATCGCCAAGGCCCTGGTTGCTTTCTACCAGAAGTACGTTGACGAGCAGAGCAAGAAGGAAATCAAGGATATCTTGGTCAGGTATGATCGCACTTTGCTCGTTGCTGATCCCAGGAGGTGCGAGCCCAAGAAGTTCGGTGGAAGAGGTGCAAGGGCGAGGTTCCAGAAGAGTTACCGTTGAGGTCTCTGGTGGTTTTGGAAATTTGGTATTCTGGGTTTCAGTTATTTTCATGCTTTAAGTTTTTTGAAGTGAAGACTATTACCATTGATAGTTTATGACTTGTTAAAGTTTTGAAATTTTAATCCATGTTTTGCTTATTTTGTGTACTCATAATTCGTATTGCATTTATGATTTCAGTTCTGTTATGTGGATGTGGTTTTGGATACTATTGATGAAATTAGAATCAGTTTAGTGTTTGAATATCAGTTTTGTGTGGAATTTCATTTCTTTTAGCACCTACGCCTTGATGTTTACTGGTTTTGATTTTGTTGCATGAGTTTAGTTGTTTCTTCTTTGTTGAAATGAATCGTCACCACTGATATGGTTCTATCTGTTGGATAATGTTTATTGTTTGAAACTTTTTTCTACATGACATATTGATATGTGAACTTTTCAAGAAAATGGGCCTTTTAATGTTTCCTCACTTTGTGTAAATTTCCATGAATCTTCCGTGGTTGCTTTCATTTAAAATTTTAAAATTTACTGAAGGAATGTTGGAGATTCGAAGAATTTATGGACTGCTGCAATATGATTTTCATTTTCGGTGAGAATTGTATGGGCTTGAAAGTAAATTAAGAGAAAGGGTATTTTTGGATCTATGGAAAAGGATGGGGGGCAAGGTAGTACGTTTTGTCAATTTTCTCTGATCCAAACATACTCTTAGGGTGGGTGTTTAGTGTTAGCTTGTTTGGTTTGAGGGAAAAGGGGAGTGTTTTAACCATTCAAATTATAACATCTTTAAATATTACAATTTGATTAATAAAAAAATCTTTTCTTCTCCTTCATTTGCCTCAAATTAAACATACTATTAAAATAACAAGTTATTTAAGATTATCACCCGCCCTGTATGGTACCATCTCATGATTATAGAATAATTTTGAATCTTTTTGAGTCTTATACTATTCCTTCTTGAGTAAAACTTCAATGTTGAAAGTATTTCCATGTTTTCATTAGTGAATTTAGGGGGTGTTTAGGGGAGTTTATCTTTTAAGCAAAATTCTCACAAATTTGTGTGGGTATTGGTGCATTTCTTATGGGTTGTTTTGTTTCAACTTTCATCACCTGTTCCCTTGTCATTAAAACTGATGTTATTTGACTTAGCAGACGTAAGTAATATTGGTAGAACCATTGAAGAATTACTATTACTTGGTTAAACTAGACAAACAATGCAAAATTGAGGAAGCTCCTTGATAATCTGGATCAGGGAAGTCTTAAATATTGATAATTTAAAATTAAGTAAGAAGCAAGGAAAAGTCATTCTAAGGGGATTGTAATTCTTTATTCATTTCTTATATTGATAGCATTATTAAAACTTGGTTAAATCCCCAATTTGGTCTTTGAATTATTGTATGGATTTTTGATTTGGTCTTTGAATTATTGTATGAACCTTTGATTTGATCTTACTGTTTATCAATTTGCCCAAATTAATTTTTTTGTGCAAAAAAAAGCTCACGTGTCTATTATTTAACAATGAAAAATAAGAATTTAACGGCAAAAAATAATAACTTAACGGTCATGTGTTACGTTAATAACGAAATACGTCAAGTGTTTTTGTATAGAAAGATCAATTTAGGGCAAATTGGTAAACAGTAGGGACCAAATCAGAGATTCATACAATAGTTCAGAGATTAAATTAAGAATTTTTTTAATTCAGGAACCAAATTGAGAGTCTGTATAATAATTCAGAAACCAAATTAAATATTTAACCTTGAAACTTAGGTAATCTAGCTTCTTATAGAAGAACTTTAAATTTTGCTTTAGTTTGATAGTTTGAGAATGGTCACTCTACGACTTCAAGGCTTAGCTGTCATATCCTATTTCTAACTCATTAAAAGAAAATTTATGCAACTTGGAATATTTAACCTTCATTTGCTACCTTTATTTTAAGAAATATTTTTATATAACGTATAAATAACAATTTATAAATTTTTCTTATTAAGTAAAGATTAATGACAGATCAGAGCCATAGAAGTATTGATGGGTTTGATTTGTCGTCCCATCCCACGGCGTTATATGTGAATCAGTGCCCATAAGTAAAATTATTAAACAAACACTCTCGATTGTCAATTCACTTAAAAAAAAGTAAATAATTTTTTGTACAATTTAAATTATATTGTATTTTAAAATAAATTACTTAAAAGAGTATTATCTAAAGCTGTTATGTAAAAAGTTAATTAAAACCACTAGGAGAAACAAAATAAGAGATCGCAACCGAAAGCAGAATTTGAACGTGAATAGCAAATATGTTGTTTCTTTCTTGACCAAAAAAAAAAAAAAATTATAGTGCTTTCAGTTCTAGTGACCCTCTTTCACCTCTAAGTTTATTTCCACGTATGTAAGGGCATAAAAATACGAGGAAATAATCATTAATGTGATGGAAAACGAATGAAAGAATATTACTTAGAAATGTAGTAGCCTTACAAATATGTGGGTCACTACTCAAGGAGTAGTGGGGTAACTTGGTTGGGATATTTGTTTCTTACTTTAATAACTTTGAATTGGGAGATTTAGAAAGAAGTAATTCATTATAAGTTTTTAAAATTTAATTTAAGGGTATGCTTTGGGTTGAGGGAAGGTAAGCGCAAAAAGTCATTGACTTTCCTTCACTTATCTAAATGGGGAAAATCGAGATGAAGAAAATAGAAACATCTTTTTTCATCCATTTCTCAAATTAAATATAATTTAAAGATATATTTAAATTAAAATTAATAATTAGAAAAGAAAAAAAATAATTAGTGTTAAAATAGATAAAAAAAATGAGAGGATAATTTTTTTATTTAATTAAATAATTTAAAAAATAATATATTTAATTTTTTGAATACATCAAATGATAAGTTACATAATATAAAATAATCCTCTCCTTTCCAAATCCCTTCTCACTTAATATAACAAAATTTTTTAATTTTATAAATAATTGAAATAAATTATTTACATATATTTATTTTTAAAATAAATTAAAAAATTAAGTGGGCAAAGCAAATTCATTGCAATTCCCCAAATTAAAGATGAAAAAAATAAAAGTAGAGGGAATTTTATTACGTTAGATCTTTATTCTTTTCCATTAATAAAAAAAATTTTAATAAAAGGAGTACACATCTCCTCCTCACTCCTCCTCTTTCCCTTTCCATTAATAAAGAAATTTAAATAAAAAGAATACACATTTCTTCCTCATTCCCCTCCCCTTTCCCTTTCCATTAATAAAGAAATTTAAATAAGGGAGTACACGTCTCCTCCTTACTCTCCTCCCCTTCCCCTCTAAATTCTCCCATTCAAATTCAATGTCAATACTCTATTATAGAGTATTGATAATTGAAATAGTTTAACCCTTAATATAAAAAGCTTTTACATGCTTATGGTAAGAATATGAATTTATGCTGTCCTCCTAACCCCTTTTCCCACATGGCTAAACTATTTATACTAGTATAAAAAAAATGGAAAAGAAAAGAAAGAAAGACCAGAAATGATATGTTTTTAACCGAACTGATTTAGTTTCAAATGCATATTTAAATTGGTCCACATACACTGAACTTCGAATAAAAAAGGTTGGTGACTGGGTGTGGGGTTATTGGTCATGGTGTGGTTGTCGAAAGACTCGAAACAGCGCACCATTAGTAAGATTTCCTGGCACCATCTATAATCACAGAAGGAACCTTTTAGTGACCATTTATTCATGTAAAGGTATTTGAACATCGAATTGAATCAGCACCATCAAAATAACCATCCAACCGTCATTCAAGTACAACCATAAAACTTTTGCAATGGAAATTTAAAAAAATTATTTTCCGGCGGTCAATATCGGCGGCTTGTTCACTTGATCCGACGGCAGAGAGTGATCCCATCGCCGACTGGAAGCATGCAGATCTCGATCCTGGGGTCCACTGCAAGAGCCTTGTTGAGCTCCAAAACGAAGTCTCTGTAGTACCTAACATACTTCCTGAGGGGAGCATCAGGCGGCGCCACTACGGAACCATTCCATAAGGTGTTGTCGTAACCGATCAACCCACCAACCTTCACCAGTTCAATCAACCTCTTATGGTAGTTGAGGTAGTTGTCCTTATCAGCGTCCACAAAGATGAAATCATATGACCCATGATTCTTTTCCTGCAATTCACCACACAATTGTTAACCCAAATTTTTTTCTTTCCTCCCAAACACCATTTTATTGAAAAGATTTCATTCAGACCCGCTCTCCTCTAATGGTTTATGTTATGTAATTCGTCACCACATTCATGTTTTGAAAAAGAGATCGAAGGGTTCATGGAATTTAGTGGAACTTACATCTTGGACTAGTTGGTCAAGAACGGGTAAAGCAGGGCCTTCTTTGAATTCAATCTTGTGGGCAACGCCTGCTTTCTGGATTACAGGTAGACCCAGCTCGTAGTTTTCTTTGTTGATGTCCATGGCTAAAATCTGATACAATCAAAAACCGGAAAAATCTCATTTTCCTCTGTCATGACGAAGGGAAAGGAAGAGATGAAATCGGGGTTTTTGGTGGAATTTGACAAACCTTGCCATCATCAGGAAGAGCTAGAGCTGTGGCCAAAAGAGAGTAGCCAGTGAAGACACCGATTTCCATGGTGTTCTTGGCATTGATAAGCTTGAGTAGCATGTTCAAGAATTGACCTTCATCGGCAGATGTGGTCATGATGTTCCTATTTTCAAACCATTCAAGTCAAGTCAGAAAACAATCCAATCAACACACACTTAAAATAACAGAAATCTTTGCCTATTATCATTTTTTTTTTCAATTTTGTTAATATCATCTCATTTTATTCACATGATAGGATTCGATGTTCATATTAGATCTGCATAGTTTTGTTCCCTTATTATAATTTGGAGAAATTTAAAATAGAAATAATGAAAACTCACCATGGATGTTTGGCAGTCACCTCTCTGAGCTCCTTCATGGATTCAGGCTCTCTGGGGTACACACTGGTTTCAAGTATGTACTGAAAAAATTATAAAATTAAAATCAAACTCAAAATCAAACAAGGATCAAACATCGACCATCATCGGATAAGAACATGAATATATGTATATACCTGATACAGAGCATCGCTCTGAAGAAGGCTCTTGTGGCCGACCTCCTGATGCCTTCCGGCCTGGGTCTGCTGCTCTTCTCCGTTGGTGGCCATCGATGAGATACTTGAAATTCTTGGTCCTTTTAGGAGATGAGGTTTGAAGAATTTGGTTATTAGTGGTGCCCTCTGCCCTGAACTGAAACCTGAGAGGGGATGGAAAATGCAGGGGGGTTTATATGGAAGGTGAGAATCCGGTTTGAACCGGGGTAGGGTGGTTGGATCGGCTGGCAAAACCCGGTCCGCGGTTGGTGAAGTGCTGCTATGGAGTGGTAACTTTGAATTTGGCGTCCAAAATTTGACCAACGCTTTGGATGAGGTCAGCTTAACTAATTGTTTATACCGGAAAAACTATGCTTTATTTAGTAACAAAGTTTATTTTTTAATTTATTAAAAT